ATCATGTTTGGTCTCTATGAATTCATCTTCGGATGATCTAATTGAGAGTGCATATTACATGCTGATACCTATGCAACATTTTAGTGTTCTAAGAATCTTTCCTAGTTTGTGCATCAACACCCAAGCGAATTACATTTGCAAATTACCATGCCCTCACACAAAGGGTCGTAAAACCCTCCAGTAATTGCAAACTCCCGCTTGGGATTTCAGCCTTTCTCATTGGACAAGCCCATCTTGAGAGGCGTGAATCTTCTCAGACCTTAAAGGTCTCACATCAGTGACCCGCCCCTAGTCTGCGGTTTGGTTGGATCCTGAGAAGATGAAAATGTGAGCTACAATGCTCCAGGACATCCTAAGTTTGTGCCAGGCCTCGGGCCTTGACTTTTCCATTCACCAAGATTCTCTGACTCAAACTGGTTCTTTTTCATCAACCAACTTCAGCAAAGATCACCTTGGACTGCATCAAGCCTTTCTTTCAGACAGACGAGACGTGCAAGTATCAAACTTAGTCTTATTAATTGATATTCGGCCTTGACTTTTCCATTCACCAAGATTCTCTGACTCAGACTGGTTCTTTTTCATCAACAAACTTCAGCAAAGATCAACTTGAGCCTTCAGATTGCATCAAGATTCTCTTTCAGACAGACGAGACAAGCAAGTATCAAACGTAGTCTTATTAATTGATACATTAGGTATCATTTGCACATTTTTTACAAAGGTGCGTTTGAACTAAGAATCTGGGTAAGATTTACTAAGAGGCTGTAAATCTGCTGAATATCAAATGGTTCCATAACTTCATTCTTTATTTCTCTCCTCTTTACTGCTTAAGCTTTAGCCCTTTTCTTATACCAACTGTATGCGTGTGTGTGTGTGTGTATGTGCAGGTGTATGTGTATGTTAGACTAGTTTAAGTGTTTATGTAGTTAATAAAGTCTTACTTGTATCACACTTGATGTTGTTCATTGTTTGCTCATAACTGGAGTCCCTTAATCATGCAGATTTATGCTACAGGCTCTGTGTAGAATTGTACAGTAAGAAAGTTATTTCCTTTAACCAGGAAATTAACGTTCTTAGAACTGACAGACAGTTGACACTGAGAGGTCAAGTAAATACTTACAGCGGATCTAAATATTTATAGTTAATTATAACTAGTTATGATTAATTATTCATATTTCCCCGTGAGCTGATTCGCTACAATAGCTATAAAAGTACTTGCCATAAAATGAGAAATATTTAAGGCAGTG